CCGACACAGGGCTTGACACCAGGACCCCGAGATCACAACCTGAGCCAAAGACAGACACACTTAACTGACTGAGCCACCCAGGTGCCTCCAGCATCTGACTCTTGATTTCCATTTAGGTCACGATCTCAGGGTTATGAGATTGAGCCCTGTGTTGGGCAGCATGCTGGCTGTGGAGCCTCCTTGAGATTCTCTCCCTCTGCCCCTTCCCCTGCTCACTCCTTAAAAAAAGAAAATGAAATAAAATAAACTGTTTAAAGAGGAACAAAGAATTGGAGTTGTGATTCGAGAGTGGTGTTGGGTCGAGAATGGATGCTACTGAGACAGATGTGATGATGCAGGAGAAAGACGGGGTGACATTAGGAGTGAAGAACTCCTCAGAAGAAGGAGAAACTTGTGACTCTGGCCATGGCAGATGACAAATACTAGAATAGCCTTCTGGTTGTAAACAACTAGAATGCAGGCAAAATATTGAAAACAACAGGCAGTGCCAGACTGTGATCAGAAGGAAACCAAATGCAGTGACCCCAGTGAGCAGCCTGGACTTCTGCCTTAAAGCTCTTTCAGATCATGGTGCAGGAAGGGGTCTCCTGAGTTGAACCTGTGGCCTCCGTTATTAGCCCTAACAAGCCAATAGTGGAGAGAAAAAAAAAAAAGATCAGAAACATCTGATTAATCCAGAAGAAGTCAGGAATGGAGGAGAAAAGGAACAAAGAACAGATGGGACAAAAACAAATAGCAAGAGGGTAGACTTAAAGCCAACCATTAAATGTAAAAGGATTAAACAGGCCAATTAAAAGGCAGAGATTATCAGAAAGGTTAAAAAAGAAAGAACAAACCACGTGCTGTCTACAGGTGCACTTTATTTATTTTTTTTTTTTAAAGATTTTATTTATTTATTTGATAGACAGAGATCAGAAGTAGGCAGAGAGGCAGGCAGAGAGAGAGAGAGAGGAAGGGAAGCAGGCTCGCTGCTGAGCAGAGAGCCCGATGCGGGGCTCGATCCCAGGACCCTGGGATCATGACCTGAGCAGAAGGCAGAGGCTTAACCCACTGAGCCACCCAGGCGCCCCTACAGGTGCACTTTAAATAAAGACCCAGGCAACTTCAAAGAACAGAACCGAAAAAAAGTATCCAGATATCAATTAAGCATAAGGAAGTGGGAGTGACTACACCCAACAAAGCAGGTAGCAAAAGAAGGAACATTACCAGAGATGAAGGGGGGGGGGTATTTCCTAATAATAAAAGGGTCAGTTTGGGGTGCCTGGGTGGCTCAGTGGGTTAAAGCCTCTGCCTCCGCCTCAGATCATGATCTCAGGGTTCTGGGATCAAGTCCCACATCTGGCTCTCTGCTCAGCAGGGAGCCTGCTTCCTCCTCTCTCTCTGCCTGCCTCTCTGCCTACTTGTGATCTCTGTCAAATAAATAAATAAAATATTTTAAAAAATAATTGATAAAAGGGTCAGTTTATCAAGAACAAGTAACAGTGCAGGATGCCTGGGTGGCTCAGTCAGTTAAACGTCTGACTTCAGCTCAGGTCATGATCTCAGCGTCCAGGGATGGAGCCCTGTATCGGGCTTCCCCAGGCAGTGGGAAGCCTGCTTGTCCCTCCGCCTCTCCCCCCACTTGTGCTCTCGCTCCCTCTCTCTCAAATAAATAAAATCGTTCAAATGGAAAGAGCACATAACACTCCTAAATGTGAATGCAGCCAACGGAACTTCGAATTAGATGTAGCAAAATCTGACAGAACCCAAAGGAGAAGGACAAATCTACAGTTACATTTAGAGACGTCGCTACTGTTCTCTCAGTTGGCCAGAGCAAACTGGGAGAGAAAATGAGTTAGGATACTGAAGACTTGGATACCTCTAGCAACCACCTCGAGCTAATCTACATTTCTAGAACACACCACCCAACTCTAGAATGTACGCGCTCTTCAAATAAACATGGAGCATTCACCGACCAAAACCATGTGCTAAGCCATAAACCAAGTCTCAATAATTTTAAGACATGAAATCAGACAGAGTAAATTCTCTGTGCTACAATGTAATTAAAAGCACCTAAAAAGTGATAGGCAAAATCCCCAAATAATTGGAAATTAAATCTACATCCAAGGGGCGCCTGGGTGGCCCAGTGGGTTGAGCCTCTGCCTTCAGCTCAGGTCATGATCTCGGAGTCCTGGGATCGGGCCCTGCATCGGGCTCTCTGCTCAGCAGGGAGCCTGCTTCCCCCCTCTCTCTGCCTGACTCTCTGCCTACTTGTGATCTCTCTCTCTCTCTCTGTCAAATAAATAAATGAAATCTTAAAAAAAAAATCTCCTTCCAAGGAAGTCATTGGTTAAAGAAGTAATCACAAGGGAAATTGGAGAACACTATGAACTCAATGATAATAACAGAACATATCGAAATGCACAGAATGTTCTCAAAGGGAATTTATAGCTTTAAACGCTTATGCTAGAAAAAGATTTACTTTTTTATTTTAAGTGATGCTTCACTGACCAAGCCATCCAGATGCCCTGAGAAAAAGGTTTAAAAGAAACGATTTAAGGTTACACTTTAAGAAACTGGAAAGGATGAGTAAATTAAGCCCCAAATAAGTTTTATTACTCTAAAATAAGTACAAGAGGGACGCCTGGGTGGCTCAGTTGGTTGGGCAGCTGCCTTCGCCTCAGGTCATGATCCCGGCGTCCTGGGATCGAGTCCCACATCGGGCTCCTTGCTTGGCGGGGAGCCTGCTTCTCCCTCTGCCTCTGCCTGCCATTCTGTCTGCCTGTGCTCGGTCTCTCTCCCTCTCTCTCTGACAAATAAATAAATAAAATCTTTAAAAAAATAAAATAAAATAAGTACAAGAAAGGAAATTATAAAAGAGTGGAAATCATCAATAGAAAATGGAGAAAAGAAGGAGAAAAATTGAGACCAAAACTTGCTTCTTTAGAATGACCAAACAAAATCAATAAGCTTCTATCTATGCTGATCAAGAAACAAAGAAAAGACACAAAACACCAATGCAAGGAATGAGAGGGGCCATCAGTGCAGATCCTGTAAAGGGTGGGTAAAGGGGTATTATCAACTGTATGTCAACTTAGATACAACAGGCAAATTCCTTGAGAGACACAATTACTGAAACAGACACAGGCAGAAACAAAATGCGAATGGTCCAGTCATCTGAGGGAATTTAATCTTAAGATTTTATTTTTATGTAATCTCTAGCCCCGACATGAGGCGCACACATGACCAACAGAGCCAGCCAGGCATCCCTTAAGGAACTGAACTTGTGAGCTTCCCACAGGGGAAGCTCTGGGTGGAGATAGCTTCACTGGTGAACACTGAGGGACACCAAGCACTCCCGAGCCCTTTAAGGACACAGGAGAAGGGAAGGCTTTCCAGCTGGTTTTATGCGGGCCCCGGTACCAAAACCAGAGACATGTTACCAAAAAACTGCAGGTCAATGTCCCTCAGGAACACACAGGCAAAAATTCCCAAGAGATACTGGCAGTGGCTAAAGACAGAATGACAGCCATTTCGCACCCAGGTCTGAGAACAAGGCAATGACGTCCGTCTTCACCACCTCCACATAACATGGGTTCGAGGCCCTAACCAGTGCAGTTGGCAAGAAAAAGAAGGGAAAGGCATACAGATTGGAGAAGAGGCGAGAAGTACCTTTATTTCTGGAAGAAATGGCTGCATATGGAGACTATTCCAAGATGTTTACCCCCAAAATGCCTAGAGTTTCGTCCATTCCTTGATTTTGGTACCAGAGGATGAAACAAAAACCTGCTGGAGCTACTAACTGAATTTAAGCAAACCTAAGTAATGTGGAACACAACTCAGTTGCGGGGATCGAGCCTTACATCAGGCTCCCTCTCCGTCCCGTGGTCAGCGAGAAGACGAAATGAAGGGTTTCAGTGGCTTGCCTGCTGGACTCCTGGTTTGGGCTCAGCTCGTGATCTCAAGGTTGGCAGACGGAGCCTTGAGATGGGCCCACGCGCCGGGCATGGAGCCTGCTTGGGATTTTCTCTCTTCCTCTCCTTCTGCCCCCCCCAACCCAAAGGAAAGAAAATGAAATTAAGGTACCATCTACAATAGCACCAAACCCCACAAAAGCTGTCGGAAGCGGGAACAAGGGCCCCGGAGGACTTGTTGGGGGCGGGGCAGGGTGGCGGGTCTGACGCTGGGCTGGGCAAGCTAGGATCCCCGAGGTGAAAAGCATCGGAAAGACTCGAGCCTCTCAGGGCGACAAACTCCACGAGGACAGCCAGAGATGGACACGTGAGCTTTTATTCCTCCCGGCCAGCTCGCACTTGGGCGGCGCCCGGCTCTGCGGGGCATGTAGTGTGACTGGTGACCGCAGCCGCAAGCTCGGGCTGCTTTCGAGACGACCAATGCCAGGAGACCGGACTCGCTCTTCGGAACGGGAGTCCCATCTTCTTCCTCCCTGTCTGCCTCACTTCCAACTCCCCACATTCCTGGGGCCTCCTGCTGTCGGGGAAACTCGAGGTTGGGGCCTAGCCCTGAGTGAGACCCAGCCAGCGGGCTCTGGAGCCTGGGCTGGCTTGGGTGTCCCCCGGGGGGAAGGGCGGGGGCCTGGCCAGCAGGCCATCACATTAGGCTTTGCCGCAGGGTCCCCGGGGCAGCTCGCAGACACGGGCCTGATGAGAGGGGAACCCCAGAACGTGCACGGCTTACTTTTCCAAGTTACGAACGGCGGGGAGGGCCCCGAGACCCATAGGCTCTGTTCTACGGAGAGGCCAAGTCCAGAGAGAAGGGCAAAGGGCCGCCCCGGCCAGATCCCAGGGGAGCCAGCTCCCTGCTCCACACTACCGAACCGGCGCCCCCCCTCCCTGCTCCTCCTGGGCCTGAGCAGCCAGCAGCCCGGGCACAGGCATTCCTCTCGTGCCCCCCTGCACCCCTCCTGTGAGAACGGCTTTCCTGGCCCCCGAACGCCTGAAGGCAGTCCTCTGAGAGGCCCCGGCCCTACGAACGGCTTCTAGCAGCGGGCCGGGGTGGCTCAGAGCCCGCCCGGGCACCCCGCCCTGGAGCAGCTCTCCGCCCGAGGAGGCCCCCACCGCGCCCCACCCGCGGGCTGCTGAGGACTCGAGAGCACGAGAACTTCCGACTATGAGAACTTCGACTTCCAGGTTTGGGTTATCCGCCGGGTGAACAGATCAACTCTGAAACTCATCACTCTCCTCGGGCCCCAGCCTGTCTTGGGGTCCCACACCTGAGCCTGCGGAAGGAAGGGCCGCCGGTTAGTACACAAGGGCCCAGTGAGCACACAAGGGCGATGCCCCAGCTGCCAGGAGGCGGGGCCCAGGGCCGGGCCGGGCCTCACTCTCAGCCCGGAGCAGTCTGTGCAGTCAGGGGTTCCTGTTCCTGAGCACTTCTTCAAAGGGCACCTGGAAGGGAAAGTACCTTCACATGTTCTGGAAGCAACTGGAGGGGGGGATGGCACCCCTAGTCTAAAGGAAGGTGTTGCTGTCGGGAGGAGGTGAGGGAGCTCCCACAAGGCCTTGTCCAGAACACAAGTTCCCTGAGTTGGGGGAGGGGGCGGTGGCAGGCCGGGCTTCTAGCCTTCGTGAGGAGGCCCCGCCTCGCTGCCCTGGAGCTGTCCCACACCCTCAGGGAACAGACACTGCGCTGCTCGCCTGTCAGGAGGCCCTGGAGGCAGGCCACCCAGCTGCAAGCACGCGAGGGGCAGCAGGGACCAGTCCCAGGGTACCTGGGAGGGAGCCGGATGACAGCAGCTGCAGGCTGTCCAGGACCCCGTCCTCGTACAAGGCCAGCTTCCGCACCATCTTCTGTCGAGCCGGGTTGATGATGATCTGTGGTGGCTGAGAGACCACGGAGCTGCTCAGGATCGATCCTGGGGCGGAGAGAGCACCGTCTCAGCTGGGGGGGGGGGGTGCCACGGGCCCTGGGAGCTCCTCAGTGCCGCTGCTGGCCTCACAGGTCTTCCCAGCCCCCAGCTCAGCTCCCAGCCCCTTTGGGACGGAAGTCCTCTGTGCCATGTCTGCAGGAAAGGCCTGGAAGGGGCCACACTGTTGCCCTGGCTCCCGGCTAGGCCAGGAACCCGGCCCTGAACAAAGCCTTCCTTGTTCCCGGCTTTCAGGAAGTGAGCTCCTGGCCTCTTGTCACCCACCTGGAGGTCAAGGCCTGGAGCTTGCTGAGGACAGACTGGGGGTGGGGTGTGGGGACTGTCACCAAGAGAGGCCCCTGATCCCTCTTCCCGGCACCTGTCCCCAGCTACCTTCCATAGCTGTCAGCTGCGGCCCCGGGCCACTCCCCCAGCTCGACTCCTGGGTGGTGCCCCCTTGAGTCCAGCCGGCCTTCCCCAGGGGTGCCGGGGCCCACGCCGTGGCCCCTTGCCCCGTGCTGCCTGGCCAGGCCGGGTCTGGGGGGCAGCTCCGGCTCAGGCGCCAGGAATGCAAGGCGGCAGACAGGCCAGACACACTCTCGTCACTCTCCACGGGCTGGTTGGGGCCCTTCTGGAGCCACTCTGGGGCCCGGGCTGGTGCTCCCGAGGGGAGCGCCTGGGGCTCCGGGGGGCTGGCACCACACGGGGCACTGCTGGGCTGGGAAATGTAGGAGTTCTCCTGCGGGGAAGAGGGGCCGAGGCCAGCAGAATTGGGCTCCGGGACGGGTCCTGCCACGGCCGCCTGCAGCTTCTCTAGACTCTCATACACCTGTGGGGGGAGAGGGGACTCTCAGGGCAGGACAGGGCCCTGCCCCAGCGTGCTGCCGTCCTACCACAGGGCGGCTCTGGGCCACCCGGGGGCCTCAGGGCTTTTTATCCACGTCACAAAGACTGCCAAGAAGTCACTGGCCACTAAAGCGAAGGACTGAGGGTGGCTTTTGTCCGTCTTCTGGAAAGCAAATCTCACGGCCCTACTGCCCTCAAACGGAGCCTCCCAGTTGCCCCAGTGTCAGAGGGAAGAAGCGGCGCTTGGGCAGGGGCCAGAGAAAACGCAGGTGCAGTGGCAGCGGAGTGCCCCGAAGGGGGCCCCCGTAAAAGCCCTCTGCTCCTCTCCATCTCCCAGGTGGGGTCTGGCGGGGGCCTCCAGCCACCCCAAGCAGAACTGAAGAGCAAGCTAAGAACGTCTGGAGACTCTGTCCCCAGGAAGCGGTGTGGCAGGTGCCATGGGCAGCACCCGGAACATGGGGTTTCTGACAGCCACCCCCTGCCACGGGCAGCCAGTCTCAGTGGCTTTCCATCCCTACCCCACCTCCTCCCAGGGCTACCTGGGTCATGGGGGGTCTCCTCTTGGCCCGGCGGTGCAGGCAGCAGCAAGCCAGCTGGCCCAGGGCCAGCCCCAGCTCGGGCGGGCATGGGCCAGGCCTGGGGTCCAGGTGCTTCTTACAGATCTGGGCGGCAATGGGGGCAGCCCAGGCATCTGTGGCCAGACCCGCTTGCAGTGTGGTCCGGGTGCTTTTCAGAGTCACCCCGGCCTCCTCAGCCTCTTCTTCAACGAGGTCCTTCTGTGGGACAGATCCTATGAGCTCAGCCACCCCCGGGCGGGCATGCCTCCAGCCCCCTTCCCCAGGCTCTCATCGCTGACTCCTGTGGTCTTTGCTGAGATTGATGAAACACCCACTGTGTGCCCAGCTTTGCCTCAGGCCCCTGGGAGCCAGCAGCAGAGCGCCCCGGGCCCACCTTTGGAGAGCTGACTTCCCGGTGCGGCAGAGACACCAACGAGCCTCTAAGGCAACAGGAAAGCCCAACAGATGGGCCACGGGGCTTCTGACTGGGGCCTGAGCAAGTGGTTACTTGGGAGCTGGGATCTGAAGGCATAAACCAGCCAGAGGTCAGAGCCAAAGAGGAAAAGGAGCACCCCGCAGAGAGGTACCCAAGGGCGCAAACAGGACTGGAGGCCATGTTGGCTTTTGAGATGGGAAGGACCAGGAGGAAGCACCTGGGTCAGGGGGTGGCCTTTCAGGCAGAAGGAAAGACTGAAACCAAGGCCCTGGGGCAGGCAGTGGGGAGCTGGCTGAGTTTGGGGGACAGAGAGAAGGCTGGTGATGGCAGGACCTGGGGAGCAGTGGCCACATTAAGGGACTGGGCCTTCACCCCAAGCACAGTGGGAAAGCAGACGGGCTGCCACGATCTCGTTTTATTTTTGAGACATTGCTTTGGCCACGGCATGGAGAACAAATGGGAAAGGTGCAAAGAGGCCCAAAGAAGGACCCCCGAGGGAGCCGGCACGCCGCCCTGGGGCAGCTACAATGTGGAGAGCTGGCTCAGCTCTACACATGGGATGTGCAGACGGACGCAGAAAGTGAAGGAAGGACAGCCGCCAGCTGGCTCCCCGATTCTAGCCCAGACCCCCCGAGACACGATCCCGGACACACACAGCCCCGAGCCGGGGAGGGGAGCAGCAGGCGGGCGCAGGCGTGGACTGTAAGGAGCCCGCGCTGCCCGCCGCGCTCCCGGCACGCGCCCAAGGTCTGTTTGCACGTGGCCGAGCGGGCCCAGCGAGGAGCACCGTCAGGCTGGGACTAGGACCCGCGCCACCTTGGCCCACAGAGAGGCAGACAGAAGCGACGGGGTGGGGGCAGCCCCATTTCCCCCCGCATCCTCTCCCAGGGCCCTGTGTTCTGTTTGCCACTGCAGCTTCTGACCCTGGAGCCCCGGGACAGCCCTGCTGGGATGCCCCCTTCCCCGCTCCCATTCCAGGTGGGGTCTGGAAAGGCCCCAGTGTCTGCAGCAGACAGACAGGTTTTTCCTCAGCAAGGTCAAGGGAAGCTGCTTGGAGCCCTGCCTACTTTCACAGATGAGTCAGCAGTAGCCGAGGCTGGCTTCTGTGGGGCACTGATTCCAGATCATTCCACCCTCCAGGGCTGCACCTGTTGGTTATCAGGAGTAGCGCTTCCCTGCCTCCCTCCCTGCCTCTCTCCCCCCTCCCACCCCCTCTCCCTGCCTGCCTGCCTGCCAGCCTCCCTCTCCCCTCTGCCTCCCTCCCTGCTTCTCTCCCTCCTCCCACCCCCTCACCCTGCCTGCCTGCTTTGCTCTCCCCTCTGCCTCCCTGCCTCTCTCCCCACTCCCACCCCCTCTCCCTGCCTGCCTCCCTCTCCCTTCCACTTCCCTGCCTCTCTCCCCCTTTCCACCCCCTCTCCCTGCCTGCCTCCCTCTCCAGTCCCTGCCCCACCTCAGGACGCTCACCAGGTACTTGGTCCGGGCACCATGCGTCCTCACGGCCCTCTGGCCAGCCAGGGTCTCCAGCACTACCTGGGGAGGGCAAGACAGAGAGTGTGGCAGTGGCTTCCGGGGCCGCAGCAGGGAGGGAGGGCCCCGTGCGGCGGGGCTTGTGGGCTGGATGGGGCGGCCAGGCCCGAAGAGGCCACCGAGGCTGACGGGCACAGCCCTCGGGCGGGCAGATGAGGACAGCGGTTTGGAGGGCCCACGTGAGGAAAAGGATTGCAAAACTGCAAACAGGAAACGAGATGCAGGCAGTGCCCCACAGGGCGGGAGGGCCATGTCAGGGACAGAGGGGCCCCGGAGCCAAGGCTCCTGTCAGCTTCCTGCCAGGTTGGCCTCTGGTCTGCTATGGAATGATCCAGGCCCTCCTGTCTTTGCGTGGCCGAGGAAAGGGGCCAGGCGCTCACCACGCCAAAGCTGAAGGTATCTGTGTCCACGGCCAGCCTCCCCGTCTTGACATAGTCCTCAGGCAGGTAAGCCAGGGTGCCACGCACGGTCTGCGTCCGGGCCACTGTGCTGCTCTGGCCGGGACTGGCCCCTGCAAAACGGCTGAGGCGGGCCAGGCCGAAGTCTCCCAGTTTGGGCATCAGTCTCTCATCCAGGAGGACGTTGGAACTTGGGGAGGGAAGGAGCAGGGTCAGGTTGGCCCCGGCCAGCTCCGCAGCCCATGCTTGCTGGGCCCCGACAGCACCGGACTCGGGGTGGCCCAGCTACCGGGGGGCTCCCTCACACGGTTCAGTCCCTGCTCGCCGGGGGGTGGGACACCCATCCTTGACCTCTGCTTCCACACCTGTCCCACTGCAGGTACTCGGTGACCCAGGGCCCCCAACTCTCCGATGTCCCAGGCCTCAGGGTTCCACCCAGTCCCTCACCTCAGCCTCAAGCGGGAGAGGGCGGACCTGCTCTTATGGGAGACACCCAGAGCAGGGCTCCTTGGGACTCGGAGGGCAAGGGCCTCTGCTGCCTGCTGGCAGAAGGTTTGGGAACATCATTCCCTTGCCACAGCCTCCATCCCCACGGTGCTCAGAGGCCCCGAGGGTCTGGCTTTGTCCCCTCCTCACCTCTTGATGTCCCCATGGATGAGACTGGGGCTGTCCTGATGTAAGAACTGAATGGCGCGTGCTGTGCCCAGAAGGATGTCCAGTCGCTGAGGCCAGGAGAGTGGGGGGCAGGCCTGGGTCTAGAGTGGCAGAGGAAGCAAAGGGCACAGGTGAGGCTGGGAGGCCATGGTTCCTTGACCCCGACTCTCCTTCCACCTGTCACTGTGGGTTCTACACAAGCCGCTTCATTCTCTGGGTCTCAGTTTCCTCTTCTGGGAAATGAGGAGTAAAGTCTGCATGAGCCGCTTCCCCAGGAGGTGGGCCCCGAGCTACTGCGCTGCTCTGTAAGCACGAGCACCGTGCTTCCCGGAGGCACTAGGACTCGGGGCGCTCCTCCTTCTCCCTGGGGCGACCGGGATGGTGTCGGAGGCATTCTCCCCGGCCCCGCCCCACACAGCACGCTTGCCCCAAGAGCCAAAGTGCCCTACGTGCCGCTGCCGGCCCTTGTGGCTTGCGGGCACGTGGCCAGAGGAAGGTCAGCTGCAGGTCCAGACGGCGCGGCTCACTGACCACTGCCCCCCCGTCTCGAGGGCCACACTGACAAGACCCCCCAGCTACTCTGCTCGTAAAAGGAAGGGGCAAGAATCGGGGCCCCGAGTCCATAACCCCCTTGTCAGAGGCAGCATGACCCAGGCTCCCAGGCCCGCGGAATGGCCCAGGGGAGAGCACGGGAAGGGTGCCAGGCAAACGGGCGGCCCACCTCGGGTCCAAGCCTGGGCCTGGCCCCTGCCCACTGGCAGGATCAGCTCACAGGGCCCGAGAGCCCAGGCCACGCACCCCGCTTCAGTTAGGCGCTGAGAGTGCTGTGGGCCCCGGGAAGGGGGCCCGGCTGCGGACGGCTACCTGAAAGTGGAGGCGGTCTTCCAGGGAGCCATTGGGCAAGAAGCCATAGACGAGGCAGTAGAAGCCGCTCTGAGCACAGTAACCAGCAAAGTCCACGATGTTGGGGTGACGGAACCTGCTTGGAAAAGCAGGACCTGAGCACTCTGGCCCCCAGCCTCCACCATGCTTTTCCAGCTGGTTGTGGGGGTGGGCCGGGCCTGGCGGGCTCTGGGGCCCTGACCTGGTTCTCCCTCTGCCCCTAGCCAGGAGGGATGCCCCAGACTCACCGGGACAGCTGCTCCACTTCCGTCAGGAAGCTCTGCTTCACTGTGATCCACTCCAGGTCTGCCCCCTGCAGCCCCCAAGGGAAACAAGGGCGGAGAGGCAGCATGAAGCTCCTGGAGCCAAGGCCTGATGGCCACTCTCACTGCCACCTGTCCTGGGCCCAGAACCACCAAGGGGCTGGGGACCTTGAACTGGGCAGTCAGAGGGCGAAGGAGGTACATGGGGAAGCAGGGGAGAAGAACCGGAAAGCGGGGGTCTGTTGACGACCGGCCAGGGCCCTCTCGAGGAAGGCACACCCACCTCCTTTAGCCTCTTCACGGCGTACAGCGTGTTCCTCATCACCGCCCGGTACACACACCCGAAGCCGCCCTCTCCGATCTTCAGCTCCTCTGAGAAGTTGTGGGTGCCCTGGGAGATCTCATTGAGGGGCCAGCAAAACGGAGAGGCCTGGGCTCCCTGCAGGGGGGACACTGGGCTCTCCGGGTTAGTCTGTGGGCAGAGATCCTGGATCAGGTGAGGTCCTCTGTTTGCCCTGTGGCCTTAAAGTCACAAGCGCCCCTCAGCCCAGCTGCCTCCTGGCTGGCCCTGTTGGGCTGGCTGGGGTGCCCCGGTGTACCACAGGCTATACTGTTTTGCTCCTTGTCTTGAATCTTTCCCTAGGGGCAGGACCCACCTACCTTGGTGGAGGAAGGGGCTGGGTATGGTGGTGGTGGTGGTTGCTGGCGGGAGGCAGGGCTTGGGACAGGACCGAGCTCAGCCCCAGAATGGGTCTGGGAGCCTGGAAAAGCTTCATAAAGTTACCAGTGAGAGGCAGGCACAGAGCATGGTCAAGGTGGCCCTTTCCAAAGGTCCATCAAGCCCGACACCCGGGCCCTCTTACCTGGGGAGGGGACTGTGGAGGCTGACGTCGGCAACGTCCGGGGGCGGGGGACCTCGGCCTCACAGGGCGCATGGGGGCTGCTGGGCCTCGGGGTGCTGGTGCTGGGGGGCAGGAGAGGGGCAGGAGGGTGCCCTGGGACACAGGGGAAGAGAAGGGCGGTTAGGGCCAGGCGGGGGGGGGGGGGGGGGGGGGGGGGGGGGAGGGGCCCCAGATCGGGGTCCCGGGGTTCCCCGGGGCCGCGCGCTCACAGGCCGTGATGATGTCCCGAGCGCGGAGCAACTGCAGGTGCGTGAGGATGCTCACGAGGTCGGCCACGCGGGCGTTGCGGTTGATCCAGGGCCACAGGACGCTGGCCGTGCGCTGTCCGGAGCGCTCGCACAGCCGCAGCTCCGTCTGGTCGCGCACGATCAGGGCGGCTGCGGGCCGGGAGGCGTCAGGTCTGGGCGCCCGGGACCCGCGGCGCCCCTCCCCCGCCTCAGCGTCCGCCCGCCCGCCGCCACCCACCGAACTGGCACCAGTCGGCGGGCTCCAGGGCGTCCATCACTTTGTAGAAGCGGCACATGACCCAGGGCGGCACCTCGTACAAGAAGTGCTGGGCGCCAGGGGCCGCGGGGTCCCCCGGCCCCGGCCCACCGGCCATGGCCGCCGCCGCCGCCGGGCCAGGGCCTCTCGGGGCCTCTCGGGGCCTCTGGAGGCCGCGGCGGGCGCGGGCCTTGGCCGGCCGGGTCCGCGGACACTGACTCACTTCCCCTTTAAGCCGGCCTCGTGCAGCGTCCCGCGAGGCGGAAGGGGCGGGGCCCGGGGCCGCCGCCATCTTGCCCGCGGCTGCCGCCGTTTCCCCCCCCCCGCGACCCTCGGCCGCACGGGGGCGCCGCGCCCCTCGGTCCGGTTGGGCGGCGAGGCGGGCTTCTCGGAGGCGGGGCCGCCTGAGCGGGGCTCTGAGGGGTGGAGGAGCGCGGTTCCGAGCACCGGGGCAAAGGGCATGGCAAGGGCCGGGCCTGGCGGGCGCCCTGGGCGGCCTCCTTATGAACTCTTGGGCTTCTTTCGGGAGGCAGCGGACATCGTCAGAGATCCCGGGCAGGGCAGGGTCAGACGTGGGTCACGGCCGCGTCCTGTCCCTGTCGGCTGGCCCATGAGAACCATCTGGAAGCTGGTACGGCGGGCTGCCCCGGCCCAGAGCGCTGTTGGCCGCCGCCTCCGCCCCCCTGCATCGCATCTTTTCCACCCCAGGCCCCTGCTCCAGCAAGTGTTGGCGCTTTGCGGTGTTTGCAACTTTTCCTTCTCTGGCGCCCTCTTCCCACGAGCGCATAAAGCGGGTTTACGTCTCTTAAAGACAGGCCTTCGGCTTGTCCGCTTCCTCCCTCTCGCGCCGTGCTTCCGGCTCCCTGGGCCCTCCCCGCCCGTGAGGACGGCGGGCTCCCGCCTCTCGGGCGCCGCGTGCGCTCCTAGCCTGCCTGACGCCGTCTTGCCCACCCGCAGCGCTCGGCCGCCGCCGCCTTCCTCGCGCGGGGGGCGCTCCTCCATTCCCACAGCCCTGTTACCTGGCCGTTTCCCCGAACGTCTCCGGTCCATTCTTCCCCCAGCCCACTGCTCCCACGACTCCCTCCTCCCCTGAGGAGCCCCGGGAAAGACCCCAGCGAGCAGCCACAGGGCCTTCGTCTTCTTTTTGTCCAGTCGGACGAGCGCTTGCATGGCAACGGGTCTCCTTCCCTCACCACCCGCCCCCTCCGTCCTGGCCCCAGAGGGCTCCCCTTCGGGAAGGCTCTCCTCTCAAGATGGGCCTCCACGGGAGCCAGAGCCATGGCCAGTCCCAGCCTGGCCCCCAGCGGCTTCGCGCGGGGACGGCCTTGACGGAGACCGCGGGCTCGGGCGGGGAGCACGCACGTGCACCCACAGCTCTAGCGGGGCCGCGCCTCTGTCCTCCTCGCTCCCTGCCGGACAGCGGCTCCCAGGACGGGCCTGGCACGCGACACATGCCCAATACACACGGGTAGAATGCCAACCCTTTGTGTTCACCTTCAAAGCCAGGACGTTCGAGTGCACCTTCCAGCGGCTGTGCCCGCATTTATTTTCCCGTGAAGCTTGCCTCTGAGCGGTTGTTCCTTCCGCCTGCCGAGAACCGCTGTGGCCGCGCAGGCCGCTGAGTGCCAGGCTGGCAAAAGGTCTGCAAACCCCACAGTGATGACAGCGCCCCCTCTGGGCAGGGGGCCTGGTCAGCAGAGGCCACGGGAAGGTGTCAGGCTAGAGGTCCAGGGGCCAGAGCTTGGGGCCAGACAGCCAAAAGCACCTGGACAGAGGGGGCACCCTGCCACGGCCCTCTGGAGCGCGACACTTGTGCGGCTGTGCAGCATGGCTGCGGCGCGCTGGCCTCCGGACCTGGGGCTCGACGCCCGTGCCAGGTCCTTCCCAGCCTGCCACCCCAGAGCTCCCCATCACACGTGGCAGCAGTGTGCCTACGAAGGTGGCCTTGGAACCCAAGGGGAGGCAGTAAGTGTATGGAGCAGGCTGGTCTCTCCTCCCAAGGCAGTCCTGAGAGCGGCTGGCTGTTTGTGTTCAGGGACAGCCAGACGGAATCAGGAAACACAGCAGCATGCTGTCCTGTGAGCTGTCTGATAATGAAAGCCCAGACCTTGAGTCACTTTCACAGAGAGATTTATCGAGAATGCTAACAGCACAGGATACAGTACTTCCCAACAAAAGGTGCAAACGCGTCACTTAGAAAGGCATGCTGAGTATTCTTTGCTTTCACACGTATTAAAAAACTTACAAAAATAAAATAAAACTGCGTGCTGCCCATCTTTTCAAATAGTAAAAGAACCTTATGAAAAAAATCACTTGATTTTACAACAAAAGACACAAACGGACATTTTTATGTAAATTTATAAGGCAAACTCTTTATATAATAAATAGGTTACAGGGATTCAGTGGGGGGGTGTTTTTGAAACGTATACAGGTACATTCAGACAGGTTTACTGAAATGGTACAAATTTCCTTAATAAATTGCCTTTTGTTTTTAAATATATCAGTGCTTTCAGTCATTTGGCTATACACAAAGAACCTTTTTTTGAACACTACAAAAAAGCAATCAATATTTTTTGTTTTTAAAACGACCTACTTATTTTCTAAAGTAATTGTCCCAAAACACAAAAACTGAAGGTGAATGTGATGGAGGGCTTTGGAGACATCTCTAGCCAAGTCTGTCCTAGGCTGCTCCCTATCCCACACACACCTCTCTCCCACCCTCACTGGGCTTCCGAGCTAGAGCCCCTCTGTCTGGGGTGGCCAGTGTCACTGTGACTCAGGAGGGGGCAGCCACTTTGCCTGGTCCCTCCTGATACTAAACCCATGTGCAAATAGTCATGACAGTCAGCACTGTCTTCGCCTTTGGGGGGGGCTGGGTGCTAAGGGAGCACACATCTGTCCCTGTTCGACGAGCCCAAAACAATGTCTGGTGGGGGTAATGGCTTTTTTCAGAAGGATCTGCTTTGGCCAGGGGAAGGGAAGTGGGGTTTCTCATGTCCAAATTTTGCTGGGGATCAGATGACAGCAAAGAGAGTGCACCCCCTCCACCATCGTCACATCACCCAGGACGATCAAGAATCTGGAGGTCACGTTACTGTCGTGTACTCTGGGACTGGGGGGGATGTGATGGGGGGGGTCCTGAACGGTAATGCCCACCACCTGGCCCGTCCAGGAGGAGCTGCATCAGGTGGAGAGTGGCCCATCGGTCCTGTCAACACACACCTGACCCATGGCCACAGCGGAGGTCTCCAGGGAGATGGCCACCCGTATCCTGAGCTCTGCTCCTCAGGCCTGCCCTCCGCCTCTCCCACTGAGGCAAGGTCGGCTCTGTCGCACCCCTCCTGTCTCCCTTCGAAGAAACATCAACCTTGTCTGTCCTTAAAAATCATCACGATGCTAATAATCTCGGGGGTTGGGGGAAAGGCAACAGAATCCAGGGTGGAACAAAACCTGGTTTTGCTCTGACTTTGAAAATGGCAACACATCAGCTGTTTGGTCCGTTGGCTTAGGCTTAACTACTTCGGGTGGCATCTGGCTGCTCTGGGCCGGGGTCACCTCTTCGGATCTCCCCTCCTGGGGAAAAAGGACACCCCCTCTCATCTTGGTCACCATCCCCTCCCTCCAAATTCTTTTGTTTGTAAAGAAAAGGTGTCTAGAAGCATTTGTCTCTGGAACAATTACTTTAAACATGGTTACAATACAGACTTCAGTTCAAACACAGAAGAGATTTACTTAGCAAATTTCCTTTCACCCACCAAAATTACACAAATATAAGCCTCAACACCACAGTTAAGAGGACCAGTAGAGAGAACCTCATGTTTGGAACACAAAAGGAGAAATAAAAACCAAACCAAACCCAAACAGAAAAGCCCCAGAAGAAACGATGGAAGGATGAGGGAGGAGAGGAGAGCAAACACAGCACACGTTACAGTGTCCGGGTACACGGGAGCCCAGCGCGAGGAGAGGGCTCGGCACACATTGAGTAACAGTCCTGGTGATATTTGGTCAAATATTCAGCAACTACTGACTCTGGAGCGGCCGCTATTGATTGAAGCAGTGACAAATCGAACGGAAAAGGAGGCCTTGGTAGCAAGGGAAGGAGCAGGCTTCAAGTTCTGCAAGCCTTTTGCACTCCACCGTCCAGCTCCCCAGAAACACTCAACTGGGTGGGCCCTGCTCCGTCCAGGCGGGCAGGAGGTCACCGGGTGAGGCTAAGTTGGGCGCCAATTTCGGATCTCAGTCAGAAAGCGCACCCGTGGACACATGCGGACACCCACCTGTTAGCGGCAAGCAGCAGCAGCAACGGCCTCCTCGCCTCCTCCGCCCCCATCCCGGGCTGGGCGGGCAAGGACACGGCGACCCAGTGCTAATACTGAGCGCAGGCGGGAGGGGGCCCCACACTGGGCCCAGAGGCTGCCCCAGCTCGGGTCCTCCGAGGGGCATGCGGGCAGCCTGGCCGCCCGAACGGCTTACGAGTGTTTCTCTTTTGGTTCAGGCCTCAGAAGAAGTAATGACACAGGGAAGGAAGCTTTTGGCCCTGGTGATTATAATGCTCTCTGCTTTGGAAGAACGAGTTTCTGGGTGGTGGTGGTGGTTGTTTTTTTGGTGTTTTTTTTATTACTTAAAAAAACGATCAAAAAGAACTGTTACGGCTAAACTCTCTAGCACGTATTGCTCATTAAGAATTACAAAAGCAAATGCAGTTACTCGTAGGATTGGGGAAAAGAGAAAGGGTGTTTCTGGAGTCTTTGCTACCTCCTAGAGGGGACCCAGTGGACTCTCGTATGTGGTTGTGGGGTCCCTGGTGTCTACCCGGTGCAACTCACACATTCAGAGATGTGATGGGCCTCCCATCTGCCCTCCAGCCTCAGCGAAGTGGAAGCCCTACTGGCGGGGAGGCCTGCCAAGCTGGCTGGCTGTGCAAGACCGCTCTGCCTGCGCCCCTGGGAGGGCTGGGGGTGGGTCAGGCCAGCCCCTCCCCTGTGCACTCCAGCTGCCCCACGCAGAGGTCGCAGAGGGCCAGGTGGTACTAGCTACATTCCAGAATTTGCCAGGGCAAGGAAGCACTCCCACACCCGCCCGCTGAGGTGAACTGTCCCCCGCCAGCATCCCGGGACCTCTCTCACAAGCATGGGAGAAACAGTGCAAAACCCGGATGCTGCCCGGAGCCTCCTTCGCTTGGCACAGGGAAGCCCTTGAAAGAAGCGAGGAA